TACAATTAGTTCCCCAGTTCAGACCAATGTTAAATTACCGTAAACATAATTTGTGAAGGGCTTTTGTTGATTTTCTTTTCGACAATGACGAAAAAGTGGTTTCTTCTTAAAAACATAACCATGTAAAGGCTAGAGTGCAAAACCCATACCCTATTTATGACCAAAACAGCTGAAAAACCATACCCTTTGGGACCGCACATACCTATATAGCCCATATAAGGGAGTACCCCCCCCCCCCTCCCCACGGGCTTTAAACCGAGCAAGCCAGCCCGGCCCAGCCTCTGAAACAAAGCAAACATTATGACATCATTTGTTTGTGGAAATAGCGCTTTATCATATTGAGTGGTAGGAGTTGGTGCGTGATACCAAGTAATAATTGCCCTTTTCCTGTTGTGTATCGCTATTATGAGGCTATTGTCTGCGTTGTCCCTAGCGACCATTTTTCCTGTTCTTGAAGAGTCAAAATGAATCGATAATGAACGCAATGATTACTTTCTCATTTTGCATAATTATGTCAAGAGCAACAGAACAAATAAGACAGAATTCAATGGTCATGCGACATCACGTCACGCTCCAACAGAAATATACCTCAATAAATTTCTTCGCTCGTATGGTTGATGTGGTTTGCCAAAGACATCACTCGTTTTGCTATTTTGTTGGAATGAATCTCAGCGTCTGAAACATCTGAGCAATGGCAATGAAAAGCAAGTTTTCTGACGTTCACATTCCGCAAGACCTTTCATGGCCGCAGTTCGTGTTTCAAAACTTTGAAGCCAACGGCAGCAAGATGGCAATTGTGAGTGGGGTCTTCAAATTCTTGAGTCTTAGCTTGTTTGCTATCGTGTATTGTATCTCTATACGAAACCTGATCTCTCGTTCACTGTAAACGGTCTCTTGGATAAGGGGGTTGAAGTACGCCAAATGAACACGCAAAATTGACAAAGGTCAGAAATCAATAACTATTGGTCGCTGATTTAATCGACGTAAAGTTGCTTGCAACTTAAATTAAATTAAATAGAGCAAATGATCGCTGTCAAAGTAAGGAAATCGTGTTTTCGTATAGGTGTGCGTTAAGGAGCAATATCATTTGGTAGCGGCTTTGTAACCGTTAATCACTTGATCTCTCTAATTGCAGCTACTAAAGAAGTCGACCATGTTGTTGCATCAATTGTTCTTTTTATGTTAACCTGCATAGCACAGTCTGCTCTGAAGGAAGGAAAGATCTTAGGAATAAACAACTTTTAAGATACTTAGAGGCCTCTCCCTGCTTGATGATGTTTACTCAAGGAAAACATTCTCCATTTCCATGATTGCATGTCAAGCCTGATTCAACGTTCGTCAACTTAGAAAATAAAAACGTCATGCAAGATGGATTAGTGAATAATCAAAACATTTTTTTTAATTTCATTCAATCTTACTCGTAAAAGAATTTCGTGACTCAAAAATTAAATGTTTGTAAGTTATTGGGGTGATATTATCTCTATATTAAACGTAAAAGAGTTTTGTAACATGATTTTCTTAAGTTAGACCAAAGAGTTCTTTTTCCCACGGTTAAACAGCAACGAGTCTACTGCTGTTTGTGTCGATTTAGCTACATTTGGTTGCCATGGAGATAAAACCTTCCCTGCTGTGTTTTGATAGGGTCTTTTCCTTCTGCTTTGTTTTGTTTTGTTTGCTTGCTTTTCTGCTCGTTATTGGAACCATTTTATATCAATGAATACATGACAATTGCACTTTTCTATGAAATTATAAATTTTCTCTCGATCGACAAAATTTACATAAAGAACTTTCTTGCACTGATCTTCGAAGTTATGTTCCATTCGTTTTCCGGGGGCAGTTTGGAATCAATCATTTGTAAGACTGAATACAGCATTGCAGGCAACCAGTTTACGAATAAAACCCACCTATTTCTCCCAGTCTACCACTGCAGTTGTTCACGGAATCATTTGACTTGAACAAAGCTTTATTTTATCTGTGGACTTTCTCAAACTCAAAGTCTGTTTTATTTTGTTTTTGTTTTGTTTGTTTGTTGTTGATGTTTTTTGGCTGTTTTTCGGCCAAATGATAACAACGAAGTACATTTCAATTTTTCAACTCCTCTGGAGTGGAGAGAGGCGTGTATCTTAACATGGCATCAAAAAATAAGGAACGCAATCCAGGTTATTGGATGGAAGCATTGCCTCGCCTCTCATTCCTACATAATGCAAGTTCCAATACCTTTAAGCGGATAACTGTATTAGGCCCGGGGTTACAGCTGTAGTTGGTATGTTGGCATTGTTGAATTGTTCATGGTTTGTTCATGTTTTGTTCATGATACAATGGCAGATATGCAGCTGTACAAAATTTACACAAACCACGCATAAAGACAAATAGAGGAACAAGTTTCTTTTCAGGCAATAGATCTTTGGAAAGGACCTAAAACCCATTTCAAAAGAAACTAGCGTATTTGCTTTTTTCAAACACAATATATAAAACATTATTTAGTGTCAGACCAATGCCCGAATTAGCCAATTTGTTTTTTGTTCTCCTTTAAACCAAACCGTAAACTGCAAATTCTTCCTTCATCTCTCCTGTCCTACAATTAGACATAACTATTAGACATAACTAATTCAATCTTGTTTTAGATGAGGTATCTGTTATGATAACAGTTACCTCATCTAAAAGTTAACATACTACATATATTAAATAAATTTAACTGTTATAACATTTATCTTACATTGGGAAATAAATATGTCGTTCTTGTTGTTGCTGTTTTGAGTTTCAAACTTTCTTTCTTTTTCTTTAGGTGGACGGACCTTCCGGTCGATCTTACACCTTTGAACAGCTTGCTGTGCTGACCAAAAAATTCGCCTCAGCTCTGACGAAGAAAGGCTTCAAAAAGGGCGACGTTTTCGCCATCCTTCTTCCAAACATTCCAGAATTTCCCATAGTCTACTATGGTGTTATTTTCATCGGTGGAGTCGTGACAACGATGAATCCGTTGTACACAGTGGAAGAAATAACACACCAGCTCCAAGATGCAGGCGTTACATCTATTATTACCATACCACTGTTTGCTGATAAAGTCAAAGAAAGCACTTCCAATGTAGGAATTAACACGGTTTATGTTGTCGGCGAAGCCGAAGGTTGCGAATCTCTTTCGGCGTTACTCCAAGATGATGGCGAAGATTTTCCGAAAAACGTCGAAATAAACCCGAAGGAAGACGTCGCCTGCTTGCCATATTCCAGTGGCACCACAGGGGTCCCCAAGGGAGTAATGCTGACTCATTATAATCTGATCGCATGCGCCTTAATTGTTACTCATGAAAGTTTCATGTGGAATAAAGAAGAAGATGCCGCTGTTCTTGGCCTCCTACCATTCTTCCATAGTTTTGGACAAGTTATATCAATGTCTTGTGCCTTATATAAGGGTGCCAAGGTTGTTTGTGTGCCAAAGTTTGAGCCAGAGTCTTTCCTTAAGATCATTCAGGAGCACAAGGTTAGTAGCTTTTCCCTTCCCAGTTTCTTTCCTTCCTTACCTTCTTCCTTCCTTTCTTCCTTCCTTGTTTTCTTGCTTCCTTGCTTTTTTTGCAGTGACTTTTGGCTTTCCTGCCTGCTCGCTTGCTCGCTTGCTTCTTTTCACTTTATAATTTTTTTAAGTCTGTAAGCGTTACGCACACCTAGCTTTATTTAAGTTGGTATTTACAGTGTAGCATATACATGTTAAACATAGCGTTCTATCATGAATGCCGTTCTCCGTTCTCTGATTGGCTACGCTGCTCATTATCTATTCTGTTGTAGATAGTGACTAGCCTAGCAGTGTGCGAGCAGTTAAAAAAATGACGGCCGCTTCTTGCCATTTTCAAGTGTCTGCGAGGATGATTAGATTAAGTTTTGAACAGCTAGTAGATTTATACTAAAACAAGACTAGTCTCTTGACTAAAAAAATTGATTATTCGCGCTCGATTTGCACGCGTGATAGTTGGCTCGGGCTGCGTCCTCGTCAACTATTACGCAATAGAAGTTGAGATCATAATCTAATCATAATCTAATCTAAAGTCGCGAGAGATGAGTCAGCCAGCGAAGCAAGCTGGTAATGGGCCTGGCACGAGAAATGAGGACTCTCATTCTCACCACCTCGCTTTGCTCGCCGACTCTCACTTCATTCACCGACGGCTTTGCTCGTGCCACCAACCATGAGAGCCTGCTCACAGACTAGCAAAAACACGATTGTACCCATCTGGTTGAAAAGCTTGGGATATCCAAACGCCTCAGTATTGCTGTTCTGATGCAACAGTCCAGTAGCGTGACAACATTAGCAACCACGCCAAGTTAAAATAGACTTTCGTTATTTCCCAGGTCTCCCACGCGGCCCTCGTGCCTTCGACGGTACTATTTTTATCCAAGAGTCCGCTGGTCGAACAGTATGATTTGTCAAGTCTGAAAGATGTTACATCCGGGGCAGCCCCACTTGGTGAAGAGTTGTCAAAATCACTGAAGGAACGTCTTCCATCCATCGAATGGTTCAGGCAAGGTGGGTCAAGGAAGTTCTGTTCAAACTGCTCCATGATCCACGGAGCTGACGCGGATAACGCCTTTTTCTAAGCACAAAGAGACGGTCTAGGCGTGCTAGACCGTCCCTTCGAAGAGAGGGCATGAACTCAGATTTCTCAACACTGGGATCTTAGAAGCCCGTGAAAGTCCCTTACAAATCGCGCGACCTGGTAACTTTCGGTATTGCCATCAATTTTGCCAAGCCTGATTAACCATTTTATGCCAGCACTAAAATTGCTTGATTTGTCTATGGAGAACGAAAACGTATTGAAAGCAGTTTTCGTGCCGTCATCTTTTCCACCCATTTTCAACGTCTGACTCAAACCTCAAACTAGCCACTGTTATACTACATTCAGATTGCACTGTTCAAAGAAAAATGTTCGAATGTTGTTGTTTAAATTGGTCAATGCGCTTAGCTACACCTAGCTAGTTCTGGTGAGTCACAAAAACTCAAGATAGAAATATCAATTAATTGAGAGCTAAATTACTATCGCTTCGACGCTATTTTGGCTAACTGGAGCCCTATTCATGACCAGGCTTCCTGGGTTGCTTCTTGTACCTAATCGCACCTTTTTGCTACGTTTCGGTGGCATATCAGGTGAGTTTGGTCAAGCTATGGTTGGTATTCTGGCGAGAGGTTGTGGAGCCAAAATAGCCATGGCGAGACCAAACGAGGCTGACATGACGCCGAAGTGTACCCAAAAGGTACGATTAGGTATTTACCGTACCCGAATTGGCTAATTGTGAATTTGGGTACGATAATCTGACAAACGAAACAAAAAGGCTCTTAATACGTTATCGGGAAAGTGTTTCGTGGTTTTCAGGTACCACAAAAACTGATAACTCTACCCTCCTCTCATTAGGTTACGGCATGACCGAGTTAAGTCCCGTATGTCACGTGACTCCGTTTGATAACATTAAATACGGATCTGTGGGAGTACTTTTACCAAATCTCGAGTGTAAGGTGAGTACTATGCCTGCACAAGAGAATAATGTGATATCCTAGCATACAATAATTATGTAGCAATGAAACAAGCCTGATTACTACGTAGAAAGCTTAACGGGACAACGACATGATCGAGTCCAAACTTGAAGCCGAGAATTTCAAACGTGGACAGCTGTTTCGACCGTCAGCACGGTGTGGCAGCAAAAAGTAAAGCAACCGGCTGGCTGACCGATCGTCTCCTAAAGGGCATTTTGTTGACGACCTCAGATGAAAATTGTGTTTCTATTTTCTATTTTTGGCTGATCAGATCTTTTACAGATCCTACGTATACCAGCAGCATTTTCGTTTGCGGTCCGTTGCATCATTGTATTTAATAATTATGTGCCTTTTGAAACTGCTCTTGTCAGGCTCGATTGCTTCGTTGCTCTGGGTATAGTTGTATGGGTGGGGTGTGTGCCGCTAGAACGAAGTTCTAGCTTCATTTGATATCTCTTTTAAGCATTTTACAGGATCACAAAGTAATTCATCCTTCCAGTACCAATGCGAGTTAAGCACACTAGTTACGAGAACAAACAAACTGATCGCAATGAAGGAATCGGCATCATATAATCAGATTTTCCCCTCTAGTGCTGTAAAAATTGTATGCAGACCCGTTGGGAGAAATTACATGTTCAACAGCTCCTTCAGATGTTCGCTTTTCATCACGTTTCTTCCCATTCCTTGCGAGCTTGCAGTTGGCTTGCTGATTTGCAGTTTACCAAAAAGCAACTGAAAGCAATAGCTGTTATTGCAATTGATTTTGCGATCAAAGTTTCTCTTTCGGAACAAAAAGGCAAACGAATTGAACGACACGAAAGGGTTAGAAGAATTGACCCTTTCAGCTCGTTTGTATGTCAAATCGCTAATCAAATTGATTGCCTGCAAACCATTATACATTTTTTTCTTCCCCAGGTTGTTGATATTGAGAATGGTGACGAGCTTGGTCCAAATAAAGAGGGAGAAATTTGTGTCAAGGGACCCACCGTTATGAAAGGTGAGGGAAGCAGGATAACCTAGCTCTGTTTTGTTCATCTCGGCTCAAGTCACAGGGTTTCTGGACAAACGGCATCAAAGGGCGCAACATCCAAACCTTCAACAGCTCTAATTTTGNATGATCGAGTCCAAACTTGAAGCCGAGAATTTCAAACGTGGACAGCTGTCTCGACCGTCAGCACGGTGTGGCAGCAAAAAGTAAAGCAACCGGCTGGTTGACCGATCGTCTCCTAAAGGCATCTGGTAACGACCTCAGATGAAAATTGTGTTTCTATTTTCTATTTTTGGCTGATCAGATCTTTTACAGATCCTACTTATACCAGCAGCATTTTCGTTTGCCGTCCCTTGCATCATTGAATTTAATAATTATGTGCCTTTTGAAACTGCTCTCGTAAGGCTCGATTGCTTCCTTGTTATGGGTATAGTTGTATGGGTGGGGTGGGTGCCGCCACAACGAGGTTCTAGCTTCATTTGATATCCCTTATAAGCATTTTACAGGATCAGAAAGTAATTCATCCTTCCAATACCAATGCGAGTTAAGCACACTAGTTACGAAAACAAACAAACTGATCGCAATGAGAGAATCGACATCACATCATCAGATTTTCCCCTCCTGAGTGCCGTAAAAATTGTATGCAGACCCGTTGGGAGAAATTACATGTTCAACAGCTCCTTCAGATGTTCGCTTTTTATCACGTTTCTTCCCATTTCTTGCGAGCTTGCAGTTGGCTTTTGGAGAAATTTACCAAAAAGCAACTGAAAGCAATAGCTGTTATTGCAGTTGATTCTGCGATCAAAGTTTCTCTTTTGGAACAAAAAGGCAAACGAATTGAACGAGACGAAAGGGTTAGAAGAATTGACCCTTTCACCTCGTGTGTATGTCAAATCGCTAATCGAATTGATTGCCTGCAAGCCATTATATATTTTTTTCTTCCCCAGGTTGTTGATATTGAGAATGGTGACGAGCTTGCTCCAAATAAAGAGGGAGAAATTTGTGTCAAGGGACCCACCGTTATGAAAGGTGAGGGAAGCAGGATAACCTCGAGCTCTGTTTTGTTCATCTCGGCTCAAGTCACAGGGTTTCTGGACAAACGGCATCAAAGGGCGCAACATCCAAACCTTCAACAGCTCTAATTTTGATTGTTCTCAATAATTCTCTTGATTTCTGCGCCCAGATAACGTCTTTTCTTTTGTTTCCAATGTATACTTAATTTATTTAACTTACAACTGACAGGATACTTGAACAATCCAGAAGCGACCGCTAAGACAATCGAAAGCGATGGCTGGCTCCACACAGGAGATATTGGATACTATGATGAAGACGAGCATTTCTTTATTGTTGATCGACTGAAAGAACTAATCAAATACAAAGGATTTCAGGTATTAGGGTTACTTATGTTTTGTTTGCTGGAATTTTGGGGGTTTATTTTTTTTATTGTTTTTTTTTTTCATTTTCTCGGACGGTGTGACTTCTTATTTTATGGCGACCTCCTCTATTCAACAAGGTCTCAGTTATTGTTTGGCGACTTTATTTTAATAATTCTTTCTATTAGTACAAATCAATCATTAAATTACTCTGTGAGCCTAAGACCAATGGAAACTCATTATCTTGTAACCCAGGCTAAACCTCATACACTCGAAAAAAAAAAAGAGCCGGCACGAGCACTGCTGTTTGCGTCGAGTGGCCAAGAATTATAGAAAATCCACACAAAGATGTAAAAATTTCGTTGAGCGACAACGGCTTCGTTGCTTGCCAGTAGGTCATTTTGACTTATCACTATGTACTTTTTTTACTTTTGATACCTTTTCACTTTATTCGGCTATTTCTATCTCCAGGTTGCTCCAGCCGAACTTGAGGCTCTCCTCGTTTCTCACACGGCCATAGAAGATGCTGCAGTAATAGGGGTCCCGGACGCCAGAGCAGGCGAACTACCCAAAGCGTTTGTTGTAAAGAAAGCAAACGAAGAAATCACCGAAGAAGAGATAGCTAAATACATTGAAGAGAGAGTAGCACCGCACAAGAATTTAAGAGGTGGCGTGGAATTCATCGATAAAATACCAAGATCTCTGAGTGGTAAAATTCTTCGTAGAGAACTCAAAGAGAAAGTGACTGCCGCGCTTCTAAACGTGGTTAACAATAAAACCAAAGAGGAAGAGCAGAATGTAATCAGGAGTAAGAACCCGGATGTGGAAATTCCAGATAATCTGTCGTGGACAGAGTTTGTCTTTCAGCATTTTGATGAGTATGAAGACAGGGAAGCCATGGTAAGTTGTATAACGGGTTTTTCTGGTTTTGTGATTAATCGCCCATCTAAACAATTTTCAACGTTTACAGGGAACGGTGTGTGGGAGGCGCGGTGGCCTCATGGTTAGTGCGCTCGTCTCCGGATCGAGCGGTCCGGGTTCGAGCCCTGGCCGGGGACATTGTGTTGTATTCTTGGGCAAGACACTTTACTCTCACAGTGCCTCTCTTCACCCAGATGTATAAATGGGTACCGGCGAATTTAATGTTGGATGTAACTCGATGGACTAGCATCCCATCCAGGGGGGAGTAGAAATACTCCTAGTCACTTCATGCTTCAGAAACTGGAATAAGCTTCGGCCTGATGGGCCACATGGCTCCTATGCAGAGTTACCTACAGAGAACGGTGTACCTTGAAAAATAATAAATATATATTCCCTGATAACATGCAAGAAACGCATTTTTATGGGGTAGAAATTATTCACAAAATGCTTTCTGAATTCTTTTACCCGACGAATTCATTGGCAATCATGCAGCATCTAGTCTGATAACCTGCTTAACGTTTGTGAACGTAGTAGAAAGAACACAGTACTGTGAGATGATCTGAGGTGACTGAGAATGGAATCTCCAGTTGTTGAACACAAATACGTCTTACTCGCTTGTACGGACTGCAGTCCGTTGAACCATACATAGAATATTCGAGTTATTTTTTGACTGACAATCTTTGATTGCTTCGTGTTGCAGTACGTAGGGTTTGATCTTGCACTGTAAACCTGGAGCAAGTCATGATTAGAAAATTCGAGTATTAAAAGGCAGTAAACGAAGAAGATCCCAAAGAAATCGTGAATTTCCATAACAATTTAAAGAAGAAATGCGAAAACTATACATCTGTAAACTGATCAGCTTTGTGGATAGTAATTGTTTATCGTGAGTATTGAAAAGTAATATTGGTTTTGCATTACTGCGCCACACAACTGAATTAAAAAACTGACGCCACTTTTTCATCCAATCAGAAATAAAACCAAAACCAATCGTAACTCGCTAGCACGCGTTTTCACGCTCTTTGTGTCAGCTACATGTCATTCCCTCGAGTTTTGGATTGGTTCACTGGATTGTCCGTGTCCTTTGTGATCGGCTAGAGTGATTACTTTGGTTTTGGCTTTACGACATTGAATTGAAAACCGCTCCATTGATAGCAATTGTAATGAAATAGCAATTTAATCAAGCGGAATGTGTACTTGAGTACGTTATTAAGATTAATTGACAACACTCAGGGATTTTTAAAATACTTTTCTTTCCCAGAGAGACTCCATAACCGATCGCTCCTACTCATACCGTCAAGTGAAGGATTTGAGCAAAAGAATTGCATCTGCTCTTAACAAGCGAGGCTTAAAAAAGGGGGATGTCTTCGCCATGTTGCTGCCAAATCTTCCAGAATTTCCAATCGTGTACTTTGGTGTGCTTCAAGCAGGAGGTGTAATTACAGCAGCTAATCCGCTCTTCACAACTGAGGAACTTGCCAAACAATTGAAACAAGCTGACACCAAGTGGATCTTAACGGTGCCCCAGTTAGTGCATCGGGCAAAAGAAGCCATGCAAGAACTGGGGCGAAGCAATGTTTTCGTCATCGGTGACGTGGACGGGTGTGAGTCGCTCTCAGGCCTCCTCGCAGACGATGGTTCAAGCTTTCCCGACGTAGCCATAAACCCCAAGGAAGATATAGCAGTGCTGCCATTCTCAAGCGGGACAACAGGCCACCCCAAGGGGGTCATACTGACGCACCATAATCTCATCTCGTGCGGCAGTATCATGCGCTCGAAAGGGTTTCTTAGCTTCGACGAAACAACTGTCCTCTTAGCATTCCTTCCTTTTTTTCATAGTTACGGAATGGTAGCCATCATGTCGATGGGTCTTCATTGTGGAAGCACTATTATCACCATGCCACGGTTTGAACGAGAAAAGTTTCTTCACGCTCTTCAGAATTATGAGGTAAAATGAACCTAAAACGTAATAAACAAAGTAAGATTTAAAATTAATACTTGCAAATCTAAAACATATTCAGTTTACGTTATATTTATATTTGTTGGACTGAATGGAAACCCTGATAATTTAGAATTGTCTTATATTAAGATATTAAACCCTAGGGTCAAGGGTTCTTTCCCCTCCAAACCGAGCTCGAGAAGAAGGCAGCTGCATATAGAGCTATAAATTGAATTCTTCACTGGGTGGTTCTTCTTTTTTTTTTCAGGTGACACATCTTCCTGTGGTCCCCCCTGTGGTGCTTATGTTAGCTAAGCATCCCTCGGTTGATAACTTTGACTTGTCCTATCTAACTGAGGTCACCTCAGGGGCGGCCCCCCTGGGGAAAGAATTGTCGCAAGCTTTGAAGGACAGATTACCACTGCTGAGTAGCATAAGACAAGGTTAGTGGCGTTAGATCTTTAACTACCCTTTACCTCGGTGAGAAACGCGGAGGCCTGGAGATTAAGACGTTAGACCTCGTATCTAAGTAACAATCCGTGTTTGAACTCTAGGTAGGATTGTTATGTTGTGTTCTTGGGGAAATCAGTGACTACCACAGCGTCTTAACTCTCTCGTGAGGTATAAATCGGCACCAGCAAACCGTTAGCCGCTACCTGACAGAACAGAATGTTTTAAAAGAAGTAAGCTGCGATAACCAAGCATCATCACACCCGCTGGGAGTGGCAGTGTTCCATAGTCACCTAATGCTACTGTAACAAGAGCTGACAGAGTCTAGATTAAGCTCCGGCGGTAGTAGCTCACTTGGTTCGTGAAGGTGTGAAGCCTCTTGGTGTCAAACTGCCTGCCACTTGACGTGTACACAATTTAGATCACGTCACACAAAACGTCCTGGATTGTGAATAGTGACATCTGCACTTGTGCTTAAAAAGAAAGCGTGAAGTACATGCCAGGCATAAGGGCATGTTAAAGGAGAAAAGTATACATTCAGTCCCTTTTTAATTGTTTTCTTTACTACTGCTACCAGGTTACGGCATGACAGAACTCAGCCCAGTGTGTCACATGACTCCTGCAGACAACAATAAACATGGTTCGCTGGGTGTCCTTCTACCAAACTTACGATGCAAGGTAAGACTGACTATAGATGAATTGCGAAGCTCTGTTTTACACACATTACCATCACCAACGTCCCCAATGCATGCTCACATGATCTGTGCTTTGTCATGTATTGACTGAGCTAGTTTTTTTCGTCCTCTTTAGTGTGGCCACACTAATAGAGGGTGGCTCTCAATGAGTTAATTTAAACCCCAACTATACACCACAATGAAAAAGATGAAGACTGCATACAATCTCTGAAATTATTTGATCTTAGTGTAACGATTTTTGCGGTCGAGATGTCTCTTCGTGATACAGTCGATATCTTCACAGCATTTGCTGCAAAACGTATCCTTCGCCGCTGTTTGCCACTCGTTTTGGACGGGCTTCGACGTGCGCGCTGTACGTTGTGTTGAATTGGGTTATTTCAAAGTTTATTGCCCAATGCAACGGGCAACAATCGCACGTGCTATAAATAAGTTACTGTGCATGCCTAGACGCCATTTGCGAGTTACCCGGCTAAGTTTGATCTGTATGAAAATGAACACATAGGTGGAACACACTTTCACATGAATGGTTTCGCGCGAAGACTCGTTTTTACACAGAGGCAAAAGGCAACTCGAAAATGGCCAATTGGACTTTCTTGTTTCAAACCTTTAGATTTTGGGAACGCAATTCGTCTTCAGTCTCTCGAACATTCATTTTCAGGTAGTTGATGTGGAGACTGGGGAGAATCTGGGCCATGGACAAGATGGCGAGATTTGTGTCAAAGGACCCACGGTCATGAAAGGTAAAACTTGCCAACTGTTATAATGAAAAAAATGAGTGTGACGGATGGAGTTGATGCCTGTTAAGAGCTCGTTTTGCATTCAATGCATTTTTTTGCCAGACGATTTCTCTCTTTAAAGAGAGAAATCGGTAGTAGTAACTAATCCAGTAACTAATCCTTAGTTACTGCAAAAATGGCACATATGGAACAAATAAACACGGGCTGCTTCATCCTTCCCTGTCAAAATGCTCATAGCTGTTCCGATACGTTTTATTGTCCACGGGGTTCGCCAGGTTTGCTCACAAATTTAAGGATGGCATCTCAATATACTTACAGGTTACCTCAACAACCCAGAAGCCACTGCGCAGACAATCGACAGTGACGGCTGGCTTCACACTGGAGACATTGGACATTACGACGAAGATGAACATTTCTACATTGTTGACAGAGTTAAAGAACTAATAAAATACAACGGTTATCAGGTTTGCACAGTTCATTAATATAGATAAATAATCGACAAAAAACTGTGCTTCGTCGTGGCAGTCATTGTTGGTGAAACTAGTGCTAGATAGACCAGGACGCAGTCACTCGTTATAAATTCCCGCGCACTGCTCTGGGACAAGTGGCATGAAATTGAGGCATCGATGGAAAACGCAAAATGAGCTCGATTTTAGGTTCGCCCCAACCTTGAAGGTCTTTACTGGCCGAGCGCGAGCGCGGTTGCATCTGAAATCAAGAACATATCACTAGAAATATATCATGGAGTAAATTCCCTAAGAATTTTTTCTAAGGTAACATTTCAGAAGACTAATTCCAACTTTGCTCTACCATTAAGAAAACATTGGAAGAAATAATCTTCTGAAAGACAGGCTGAAGATCGAGTTTAAGTAAATACGAGGGCGACGCCGAAGACAACCTCAATTAAAAAATGAATCTATATTTTACCTACGAATCTCGCGATACTTTAAAATTAAAAAGTCGTTTAGTTTGTTTCAATCTTTGTCAAAAATATTTCGAACTGAATATGGAAAACAGGGTAAATTCGAAAAGTAAATTTTAAAAATTATTCGCCGTGGTTCACGTTCTCCGCACAACGCAGAATTAGGTCACTGTCCCGCTGTTGTTTTGCGGAGGACGGCAAGGAAATGTATATACCAAGCATTATAACGCACGTGCACAGCCATCGTTCTGCTCATTGAACCTTTTGTTTAGTGACGTTCCCGTCGCCGCTGCCTTTGTGGTTTTTTTTTAACTCCCTGATATAAGAACGTGTTTACAGCAGTAAAGAGTAAATTTTAATAACTTCCTCTATAGGTTCCCCCTGCTGAACTCGAAGCTCTCCTTATCTCGCATCCAGACATAGAGGACGCTGCTGTGATTGGAATCCCGAATTTGGAAGTTGGCGAGTTACCAATGGCATTTGTTGTTCGTAAGGCTAACGCAACGCTCACTGAGAAGGACGTGGAAATATTCGTTGATGAAAATGTAGCGCCGTACAAGAAACTGCGTGGCGGTGTCGAGTTCATTGATGAAATTCCAAAGTCTTTAAGTGGAAAAATTCTACGTCGAGAATTAAAGGACAAATTGAACCAGCTGATCAAAGTCGATAAGCCTACGAATTCAAACCGCAGCTTCAGAAAAAGCGTGCGCCAAAACGGCGACAAGAAAGAAGTCAATGGGAATTCTGAGGGTATGCCTCCGAATGTGGCAAAATCCAGTTGCTGTGTTCTTATTTAAAGTTATACCATCAAAATCTCAAAGTTTAAGATAACACTTCTCCTTAGTCATGTCACGCACAGCTTGGCTCTGGGAATCTGGTGCAAGTCAAGACAACAATCCTTAGTTGGAGATTTTCTTGGTCTACGGATGATTAAAACATCAGAGTATTTTCTATATTTCGGAAGATAAACTAAGCAGGGAAATACCGTAATGAGTCGATTCAACGCTCCCCTCCCCCCTCCCCTCCCCGTCAATAGGCGCTCCCTTTTTAATAATCCCGCTACCTCACGCCCCGGGCGCTAAATTGGATCATTATGCTAGCCTCGAAGCTATGATAGGAGAGGAGTGACAAATACCGTTAATAATAAAATAATACTATCATCGTACATATTGAGCAATTCGTACGGCATAATACATATTACAGCGAATATGTACAATATGATTATAACATAAACGCGTTTCGCGCTAAAGATCAGTTCCTTATTTTTTTATTACCGTTGTGCGCGTGTTTATTCAGCACAGTGGTAGCCTGATAGTGTTTGTATAGTAGGCATAGTATTAACAACACTAGCTGTGTATTATATGTAGATTAGACCCATCTGATGGAGAAATTGTTATTTAAAAGGAGCCATGAGCCTTGTTTAAGATGGACAACTACAATAAACGACAACACAATCTGTAACTGATCTCCATTTTTTCCACACTAGGGAGTTTACGAAACCACGACGGCGACGCCGAGGATAACGTCGACTAAAAAATGAATTTATGTTTTACCTACGAATCTCGCGATACTCTAAAGTCATTTACTTTGTTTATAACTGTCAAAACTATCACGAAACTGAATCTGGGACGCGGTAATAAATTTGAAATAAAAATTCAAAAAATTAGCCGTCGTGGCTCACGTTCTCCAGACAACGCAAAATTTGGTCATTTCACGTTGTTGTTTCGCAGTGGACGGCAAAGAAATGTACCAAGAATTATAATGCACGTACACAGCAATTGTCTTGCTCATTAATTCTTTTGTTCAGTTACGTTCCGGTTGCCGTTGCCGTCGTGGTTTCGTAAACTCCCTAGTTACTAGCCCAACACGGAGCTCTCGTACATGTAGAATAATAACATCCACAAAACGTAGAATTTGAAACCGACTGGGAGTATTCGATATTTGTTTAGAAATGCCAAGCGATTCTAAATGACGTTTTAGTTTTGTCGCGTACGAATTCTCCCAGTTTCGGCTCACTTGCACGGCAGTTGTTCAGTAAGC